CGGAGTTTCCAGATTAATGGATAGGGCGAAGAGGGCCTATAGAATGGCCTGTTAGATGCCATTAGAATTTTTTCTATGGGGCCATTTGAAATCTATTGTGTTTACTCCCCAACCTGAAAGTTTGTATGAACTTGGTCAATACATCATCGAAAGCTGACATGCCTCCAACATGTTTTTGCTTGGCCATTAAAAGGCAACATTTTGAACACTTATTGAAATAAAAAGTGCAATTTTCGTGTTTTTGTTTTCTATATGAACAAATTAATATAAAGATTTTTCTAATTTTCTTGCAAATGAATCAACCTATTTTAAAAAATCAAACGTCAAAATAAAGGACTTCGAAAGACCTTTCAAATAAGCTGTCACTCGATACCCGTTGTCATTCAACATTTTTAAGGGGATGACGCTGGGGGGCAGAGGGTGAAAGGGGGTGATGTAGTTTTTGGTGAAAAAGTTGTCCGCCTTGACAAATCCTTTGAAGTGTCTCGACGTTTTTTCTTTTAATCAGTGGTTCTCGATAAATACGTGGTGGGAATTATTTAAATGGACACTCTGTATATAGTACGAGTATAATACGAGGTCTATAAATTAAGTGATGTGATGATTTTTTTTATTCAAATTCAATTACAAACTTGATATTGTCACACTCAAAGCAACTTCCTTTTGAAGCCACACAGCTCCACATGGATATCATATAAAAAAACTATAAAACGTCAAAAAAAACCTATAAGATGTCATCTTGCAAACTAGGTAGTTTTTAGGGCGCAGACAGTCATTCCACGTCTGCTCACTAGGATCGTTGTGAACGTCCATCTAAGGAGGAATCACTCAACTGAGCTACACGCATTATTGGTTGCATATGTTTTCCAAATAATAGTCCTTGACTGTAGTTTTTATCTCGGAGAAGAAAGTTGGTTGAATGACAAGATCGCATCTGGATGATTACGTGTATTGGTCTGCATGTGTATAAAACCAGTGATATTTGCTGTGTGAGAAAATCATTACTGAATATGCTGCCAATGAAGTATATCTATTGGCTGTGCCCGACGGGTTATTTTTATGTTGTGCTTTCTGTAGAGAGGTTATGTTCAAAGTTATGAATTACGAAAAACTGAGGAGAATTACGAGAAATCATCACCGCTAATTCGACAGTGTACAGTGAATATAATTATTTCTTATCTCTCTCATTTTTGAAATTCAGCAAGTTTGTATATGTAATTTCCAGAAAAAGTAGATGCGCAACTAATTTCTAGCTTTGTGTCTCAATTAAGTGTATTTGAGGCAAGAACCCAATGTAATTATCATCAACACATATAACTTACAGCTTAGACTTCCAGTAATGCCATCTCAGAAGCAGATTTTACAACACATCAGAGCCAAAGATTGATAACAAGCCTCAGGACGTTTAGGCAACACGTACAACTAAGTGCTAAGTTAACATCTTGTAGAAAAACCTACATAATGTCAAAAAAAAAATCGGTATAATGTCACTTTTCACGATACGTGCCGGAGACGGTTCTTCCACTCCTAATAGCAGTGCTTGAAGTCCGATACTGGAATAGCCTTCAGCTGGTCGGCTACGACCATTTGAATGTTTTCGACTGTCTCAAAATGCACCCTTGTGGTATTTTTTCAACTTCGGTAATAGAAAATAGTCACAAGGACTAATGTCAGTCGAATATGGAGCCACAGGTATGTTTTTACTGGCCAAAAACTAGTTTATTGACAGTGCTGTGTGACAAGGAGCATTATGGTGATGCAACACCCAGTTGTTCTTGATGTTTGGTCTCACACGAATGACACTTTCTCGAAGTTTTTCAAGAACCTCCCTTTTTGAGCGACTCCGTGTATGTACAGTAATGGACAAAAGTATATAGACAAATATGAATATTTACCTAAATACCTTTAGAAAACGAATTCATACTTCATTGCTCCATAAACAAATGCGTTATTAGTAGAAAAACTAAATTCCTTGTTTTTACATTATCTGCAATGAACACAATTCAAGTCTGAATACAGGGTGTCCGCAAAGTTGGGGTTTTCCTTTTCAGAAACAACTACCCTTGAAATAACAAAGTTAATGTGTAGTGAAACGAGGGCGACCAAGTGAAAAAAAGAAAGGAAAAAGTACTCACTCTCCAGTTGACGAGAAGGGCTAAGTACGTCTCTGCCCGAAATCATATCGCTCCAACAGAAAATGAAATCAGCTGATGCGCTACCGAGCAGACGCACCATGCCAGCCCAAACATTTACCGAAAATGTTTGTTGAAAATGTACCCGACGGACAGCCTGCGGATTTTCTACTGACCAAACATGAGTGTTGCGAAAGTTATTCACCCCATTATGCGTGAACGTAGATTCGTCTCTCACCAATATGCACTTCAAAAAGTCCGTATTATTGCCATGTTGATGCAACAACCACTCACAAAACCGCACTCTTGCTGGAAAATCGTCAGGTTGAAGGGCTTGTACACGTTGGACGTGAAACGGATACAGTCCCTCTTCACGCAGCGTTTGCCACACTTTAGTTTTTGATACTTGCACTTCTCTAGCCACGTCTCTAGTGCTTGTTGGGGGATTCTCGTCTACGCGATTACCTCTACACGCGTGACCGTAACCGTCGGTTGAAGGTTGCATACTGACCTGACACACTGACGCCGACCCAGTTCTGTCGTCGGGTTGAGCCAATGACCTTGTACCAATGGATGATGTCGCGGGTCGCGGCTACAGGACGGTATTCAGATATTTTTGATGTTGCAGAGCCCTTTATCTCGGTTCCCTTAAGACATTGGTGTATATGGTACTAAGAAAAATTGCTTATGTTTTCAAGATCTACATGTCGTGTAAAGGAAACCCCAACTTTGCGGACACCCTGTATAAGCACTTTTTTACTAGGGACAAGAATATGTAGACAAATTCTTTTCAACATTAGTTTGGTACAGTTTCGTGTCAGAAGAGAATTAGTTTGTGTTCATCAAGTATTATGGAATAAGTTGAGTGATTTTAAGACCATGCCGCGTGGTCCAGAAATTTCTTTCGATGTGAAAACTAAGATCATTTAGTTATACAAAGATCGTCAACGTTAAGTCGACATTGCCAAAAATTTGAAGTTGAAGCTTAAAGCAGTTTGGGCAATATTGAACAAATATAAACAAAAAGGTATCTTGGAAGCCTCTAAGAGAAGTGGTCGGCCTAGAAAACTAAATGCTAGATCAGTTAGATTAATAAAAGTAATTTCGTCCAAAGATCCGTTTAAAACCCCAAGACAAATAGAAGCCGAAATCGAGACAAAATAAATTGTCAGTGTTTCTACGAAAACTATAAGTAGCAGATTGAATTATTTGCACGTCACCCGAGTAAGAAGCCGCTAATTTCGAGGAAAAACCGTAAGGACCGATTACAATTTGCACGGTTGCATCTTGATTGGAGCATCTGTGACTGGAAGAGGGTATGTTTCAGTGACAAATCAAAGTTCAATATGTTTGGATCAGATGGTGTTCATTACGTTAGACGTCCTAGTGGACAAAGATTGACCCCCAAGTACACTTTGCCCACTGTCAAACATGGAGGCGGATCTGTTATGGTTTGGAGGTGCTTTTTGGGGTTTGGGATGGGACCTCTATATAGAATAGATGGCATTATGGATAAGTTTGTATACACAGACATACTCAAGCATGTCATGTTACCCTATATGAAAGACAATATGCACTTAAGATCAATCTTCCAGCAAAATAATGACCCGAAGCACACTTCAAATCTCGCAAAGAAATTCTTTCTGGATGAAAAAATACCAGTTCTCAAATGGCCTTCACAGTCTCCCGATACAAACCCCATTTAAAATCTATGGGAATACTTAGATAAGCAAACACGAGATAAAAATTATTCAAACAAGGATGAACCTTTTGCCGCTTTAGAGCAAAAGTGGAGACAGATTGATGAATCTTATATCAAAAAACTTCTACAATTTATGCCGAGACGATGCCAGGCAGTGATTGATAATAATGGTTATGCTACAAAATTATCTCAAACATGGTTGGTTTTTTATAATTCAATGAAATTTGCTTCTTTTTTCTATAATTGTTTTGCTTTGTCTATATATTTTTGTCCTTCCAGTTTTTTTCAATTCATTTTTTATTGAAGGGATTCTAATGACTTTATTTATGTATAAGTGAGTATTATGCTATTACGAATTATGTATACAGGTTGGTGTATTAATAAAACAAGTTAAAAAAGAAATACAGCACAATATTAATTTGTCTATATACTTTTGTCCATTACTGTATATAGGAAAAACAAATTGGCATGCATTAGATCATCGACTTCGTCTTTATTGCTTTTTTGGGCCTTGGTGAGGTTGACGTGTGCCACTTCTTGTGCTGGCGCTTGATTTCTCAAACACCCAAGACTCGTCACCAGTAATGACACCTTCCAGAAAATGAGGACACCTTTCCTTCCTGATGTCGTTTTGGTCTTACGAAAGGTTTTTTGGAATCGTTTTTCCGCAGAATTTTCTCTTCCCCAATTCACTGATCGAAATCTGATGAACGGTGGTGAATCAAATTTAACTCTTCCCCGATCATTCTGACTGTTAACCATCGATCTGAACGCGCAAGATCCTAGATTCCATCGGTTCTTGAAGATAAAAGTCTTCTGCTTCGTGGTTCATCTTCAATCGACAATGCATTAAACATTAAACCGCCGAAACACCGTAGGCCTACTGGATCACATGTTCCTCTGTCTCCCCTAAAAGCTCGGCACCTCCAATGTTGCCAGATCGAACGCTAGGTTGCCAGTCTCATCACAGACCTCGTATATTCCCGAGTGTTCATGATAAACATAATATTAGTAGTGTACGAAGTTGCAACGTTGACATCGATAAGAGTACCACGAAAGTAGATAAAATGAATAAAAAGACGTATATCTTATCGCATAACCAGTTTTTCAAAGTGCGTATACTTATAGTGAGGATACATAAATAGAATGGATTTATATTGATTAAAGTGTAATGCAAGTCACAACATAGTCTATAGTCTGATTTCAAAATTGAAGGCAGCGGCAAATTTGAAAGAAAGCCGCGTCTACCGTTTGTCGGTATGGACGGGAGACCGGTAGTGGCGCGACAGGAAATATTTTAAGCTAGGTTCTCACGCGGCAAGAAGACAGCGTGGCACGCTTGCGATTTTGCTGTCGTGAATCTTGGCTGGAGTGGAGGATGAAACGTAAACCAGCAGCAGTCGTGCCCGGTTCACATGGTTCACAATTCAGTTTCGGTTAATTCCTTGGAGCTGACTATGGCGGAACATGTGGTTGAAAGTTGTGAGGTGTTGAGTTCGGTTTTAAATGCGATGGTAGCAAAAAGGCTAAGAAAGTTATGTGAACAGATGAAAAATTGGAAGAATAAGCGTTATTTTGTCAGAAAGTAGATGGATTCAAGGAGAAACTCGGGGATCACAAAAGTTCCGTGAGGATCTTAAAAATTTGCTGCGCATGTCTAAGGATGAGTTTGATTTTCTCTTAGAACGTGTTTCTCCTCACATTACGTGGTTATGCCTGGCTACCGATTGTCGTGTCCACGCCCGAAAATCAAACGTGTTTGATGACGTCAGAAACAAGTTTACGACACCTCGTTCAGGCAGAGGCAATTCCACGCAAGCAAGACTCACGCTAGCGTGCCACGCCTCGTGAGAACGGAGCTTCATAATGGGTTTGACATCCTACTGAAAGTAGATATGTAGTAGAATTTCATGTTTAAAGATGTACAGTAAAGACATTTCTCACATGTTCTGATGTAACCGTTCGTGCCTGAATTCGCATCGGCGAAATGCGATTGTCAAAGGATTAGTGGTTTTCCCAGATAGTCGTAGATTTGCCGTGCTTTTTGGACGTTTTCGAGTAACATCTAAGTTATAATCACACAGTTTTACGTCATTGAACGTATGACTGATGAGGTAAGAGAAATTTCTTTATGTTTGATAGCATATAATTGTCAAACATATGAATCTTAAACAATATATTGTGAAATATGGAAGTAACTTCTCGAACAAAATTCAAATAACGCGAAATTCAGCAAATAGTACGGAAAAAGTTTAAATATAAAACGATGATGATGATGAGCAATTTATGTTGGAATGTATTGATTATCAACAAAGATTTGCTATACTTGTGTTCTAGTTGGAGTAATAAATATTCTTGAAACACAAAAAGTTAATAATCTGGTCAATCAGGAGATGTAGAAGTATCGTCACTACTTGAGGTTGATGATTACTGGCTCTATTGCTTTTTCTATATGGTGATCTAGTTCCCAAAACTTCTCTTCTTCTATCACTTGAGAGATACATTTCTGCCACGCATCACGCTGTCACAGCACCGATTGCATCTTCCAACAGAATACGAACGTCAGACATATTTTGAATGTCGTATTTTTACGAGTCACCTCATTTTTGATTTGAGCCCATATCTCTATTGGATTCATCTCGCAATGATACTGTGGAAGTCTCAATACCATGAATCCCATCTCCCTAGCGATTTCATCAACAGCTTGTTTGACGAATCGGGGTTTGTGTTCACGCGCGATTTGCAGCAGTTGTGCCTTCAGCACGTTATGTTTTTAAATACCAGCCAATTATAAATATCAGCTTTTCGCCAATTTGAAGTAGGAAGGATTTCTATACGTCTACTGTGGTACGACGCATTGTCCATGATGATAACCGAATCTGGTTCGAGCTTGGATAATATGGATTTGAACCAAGATTCAAAAACTTCGGCATTCATGTCCTCCTGGTAGTCACCAGTTTTTCTGGATTCAAATATATTCAACCCTCCATTCACAAAGCCAGATGCACAGCCTATATGTGTGATTATCAATCGGCGACCTTTGCCTGAGGGACTTTTCATACCTGTACTCAATCGATCACGATGGGCATGTCATATTTAAATCTTGCCAAAACTTGGAAACAGTATTCAGCCACGTTTCATCCAAGTAGTAAATTTGCTGACTCCCGATTACGCGAATACTACGTATGGTTTTCAAGTATTCCCTACGCCACATAACGATGTCATCTTTCTCTATTAATACACTGTTCCTTTTAGGTTTCGAATATCTAATGTTAATTTCGCGCAAGGTTCTTCAAATAAAAAGAGTACGTTTTCCGACGAATTACATTTTTCACATCATCATCTAGGACAACTTTCTTACGTCCTCGATTTTTATCGGATTTACCTCCTGTTTTTTGCTTTCAGGATTCTATAAATCGTCCTGATAACTTGGTCATATCGCTACAATCTCTCACTGTTTCGTCCATTTTTTAAAAATAAACATTTTTCACGATGTTCCTTTCACCAGGACATAAAACACGCCGCTGGTTCGTACTACACATTGCATTTCGTTTCATTTCTGAAATAGTAGATATGTGCAATGCCTGCACTAACCAAGCTTTCGTATCCGCGATCCCTACTTAACACCTTAATAGTATGTGCTCCGCACCTGACTACACTAGCTGGAACCTGAATGCAATAAAATTGCGGCGTATCTTTTGAGTATAGCGCGATGCCGACTACGACGTTGTCAAGCCTACGTTCACTTTCTGATTTATCGGATTCTTAACTTTTTCAGACCGAGGTGAAATCCGCCGCAAAATTTTTGATAGAGTTAAATAATATACTAAAAAGTCAAGCTAACCTTCCCGATACTCTAAATAGGTCATTACCATCGTTGTTACCCGATTTTTATGAGTATTTGAAAATCCAGAATTTGGAGAAAATTTAACACATGAATCAGATTGTCACATATGACATCCATATTCAAACATTTTTTGCTACTGGACTTACTTGGTATATATACAGGGTGTCCGCAAAGTTGGGGTTTTCCTTTACACGACGTGTAGATCTTGAAAACATAAGCAATTTTTATTAGTACCATATACACCAATGTCTTAAGGGAACCGAGATAAAGGGCTCTGCAACATGAAAAATATCTGAATACCGTCCTGTAGCCGCGACCCGAGTGGTACAAGGTCACTGGCTCAATCCGACGACAGAACTGGGTCGGGGTCAGTGTGTCAGGTCAGTATACAACCTTCAACCGACGGTTACGGTCACGCGTGTTGAGGTAATCGTGTAGACGAGAATCCCTCAACAAGCACTAGAGACGTGGCTAGAGAAGTGCAAGTATCAAAAACTAAAGTGTGGCAAACGCTGCGTGAAGAGGGGCTGTATCCGTTTCACGTCCAACGTGTACAAGCCCTTCAACCTGACGATTTTCCAGCAAGAGTGCGGTTTTGTGAGTGGTTGTTGCATCAACATGACAATAATCCGGACTTTTTGAAGTGCATATTGGTGACAGACGAATCTACGTTCACGCGTAATGGGTGAATAACTTTCGCAACACTCATGTTTGGTCAGTAGAAAATCTGCACGCTGGCCGTCGGGCACATTTTCAACAAACATTTTCGGTGAATGTTTGGGCTGGCATGGTGAACGGTATGCTCTTTGGACCATTTATTCTCCCAAATCGATTGGACGGGATGCAATACCTAGACTTTTTACGCAACATTTTGCCTTCCTTGTTAGAAGATGTGCCATTAAGTGTAAGACAATCAATGTTGTTTCTGCACGATGGTGCACCGCCCCATTTTAGACGCGAAGTGCGTGAGTTTTTGAATGAATTATTTCCGAATAGGTGGATCGGACGTAATGGACCCGTAGCGTGGCCTCCGCGATCTCCAGACTTAACACCATGTGATTTTTTTCTTTGGGGAGAAATGAAACGCTTAGTGTACAAAACTGAAGTGCATACGGTTGACGAACTTCGTCTCAGAATTGAACAAGCTGGTACTTTCATTCGGGGGAGGGACTCCATTCTCAAAGCCTGTAGCGATGCTTGGCTACGTCGTGCACGCACCTGTGTTTTTTAATCAAACGGCGATAACTTCTAACAATACCTATAAAGTACGTTTACCTAAAAACTGAAAACGCGGCAACGCCGTCATATTTGTTACCTCTGTTCGTGGGATTTCATTTTCTGTTGGAGCGGTATGATTTCGGGCAGAGACGTACTTAGCCCTTCTCGTCAACTGGAGAGTGAGTACTTATTCTTTTATTTTTTTACTTGGTCGCCCTCGTTTCACTACACATTACCTTTGTTATTTCAAGGGTAGTTGTTTCTGAAAAGGAAAACCCCAACTTTGCGGACACCCTGTATATTCAATTATTGTCGGTTGAATTGAAGTATTCACGTTTTAAATACGTATTTCCAGCAAGTTGGTTCGCAAAAATTCAGTTCTGGGAATCTATGGATTTGATTTCCGGAATCACAATTTACGATTAGCGGTTGAGCTTCAGACCTGATCAAAAACATAGTAGCCGCAGCTAGTATATTTTCGATCACGAAGCATAATAAACTGTTGTCAAGGGAATAACTGAATATAATTTGATTTGGCAACATTGTATCCTTCATTTGCTCAATGTTGTCAAGTCCAATGTTTTTCAATCAAGTTTAAGAGAAACCCCTCGTAGCATGGATAGGCATGGTATAAGCCAGAAGACAGACCTGTTGAAAATTGAGGTTTTCCCAAGGGATGGAAATGTTCGCATCGACTGAGTATCATAAAGCCTACCTTATCCAATGATACGTGGATCGCAAAGCTTGACTTCTGGCTACTGATCTTCTTACCGTAGGATTTGACTTTGACTACTTGAGATTGAAGATTTTACTTATATATGTTATTTTAAATAGGAGATCAGAAGAAAGTTGTTCAACATTTGAATGTTCATGCAAAAATTCAATATATAGACTTTCAGTGGATTTCTCCGATGAGCGCGTGACAACATCGCTTACAGTTCTCTACTGCCTTCCAATTTGGAACCGAACTATAGGTTGATAAAATATGCTTTTAGGTTTTCATACTTTGAAGAGCTGAAAAACGATCAGATCACTGTGCGGGATCATTTTGAGGATCGATTTTAGAAATACGAGTACATAAATGGTATACCGGGTGTTTCAAATTCGTGGGGGTCGAACTTCAGGATCTCAGAAAGAATAAGAGATACGAAGGGCCGATTTCACCAACATTATTATTATGGACCAATAGGAAAATACCTTATCGAAATGCAATTTAACGGAAGCTGTCAAAGGTCTCAGAATATCAGTGATTTCTATTAAAATGTTGAATAAAATCGTGAAAATTCGACTGTATTATAAACAAGACCACTTTTTGATTCCAACATGATGCTTTTGTACAGAAAAAACAGGACAACTTTCATGTATTTTGATATATGTTATAGGTGTACATTTGATCAGGTCGATTCTAGCTGTTAAATTTGGCAGCAGGGTTGGTCGTTTGTTAATTCATGGCAATCTCGAAATTTGTCTACTTCAATATACTGTGTGTATATTATGAGATCATTATAGCTACACATACCTGTTGAATTGTGCGGATTTGCAAGAAAATAGAGTATAAAATGTATTCCAACCAATTCCTCATCTCTCTTTACATCATAATAGTAATCATTTGTTATAAATTCATGGGTTAATGAATATCTTCAAAGCAATCAAAACAATATGTCGTCCCCATCCTAAAACACCGATATGTGTAAAACATGTTAATCCCTACATCTCCGAGGTGCATAATGCAATTACTGTAGACATAGACCTAAAATTATTAGTAATTACTGAAAAATAATGTAGGGCTCATGCACGACTTAACGTAACCGAATTTAAGGATCAGCTGTTTCTACACCAATGTCCTCCACGTGTTACGCCGCCAGATGGTAACTAGCTAGTGTGCTAGTGCTGGCGGTATAGATTTGTTTTGGTGTTCGTCTTCGGGTGTGTTTTTCTGCCTTGGACTTGTTTTTTGTGCGATTAATTGAGGATGGCCATGCCTAGAGCAAAAAAAACGAGAGCCGCGCTGGTATCAACTCCTGACCGTGGTGAAGAGGTACCTGCAGAAGGCACCTGAATGCAATCGGAAATCGCCAGAGGAGCGCCTAATGATGATGTCGTGTACACGTTAAATCTGCACGAACCCCTAAATACGTGGTTATGTTGAATGTACCATCACCGATCGTGCGACTGATTATACTCTGAAACTAAAACAAAGAACTGCAACTGCAATTGTATGTATGAATGTTGAAACTGTTGAACAGTTTCGGACCAGTGGGGTTAAAATATCGTTGAGGAAATGGAAAGAAGTGTATGAATGTGTTGAAATGCAACACCTAACAAAAATTTGAGTGTAAAGGCTTTTTCGTGTAAGCGTTTGGAAGTACAAGTATGCAAATATAGGATAAACTATAAGCACACAGTAGGTGATATAATCACATATGAATTACAAAAGTTGCAGTAAACATGGAAAAACCTTCAGCTAATCTGACAAAATAGATTTTACTCAGACATCAAGCATTTTTAAAAATTTTGGCTCAGTTTTACATAATTTCATAATATTTAATAAACTGAAAAGATTTCAATGGCAAGCTGTCACTTCATATTTTTCAGTGTTTTGTTTTGAATACTTTGATGCTATTTGCTGCCAAACATTTGACCGAGAGATTTTGAGGCTGATTGGGTATATTTAACGGACTGTTTGGTACTCGTACCCTATTGTTACAGAATAATGGTTTGTTAAATTGTGAAATCCACCCTAAATCGATTAAATTGGGGCAAAGTTGCGTATTTAGGTAATTAACAAAATGCCTCTTAGAAAGTTTCGATATTCAAAGTATTTCCGGTGAGAGACGAATAAAACCGAATTTTCCCAAAATCATTTAAATTTTTTCCTGAATTCATTTGTTGTAGCATTTCAAAATAAATTGCACTATTAATGTTGCCACTTTTTCCCTCTTCTAGATGGCACAATTAGAATTTCAATATGACGTTTCGTCTCTTGTCATCCAGCAACATCTTTATTTTTTCATCGGCTGGGTCAGCCCTTGGATAATAGCGAACGCTTCAACTAGACAACCTGCTGCCCAACTAAAACTCGTTATGGGCATTGAAATCGCCGAGGAGAACTACCTCTGAAGCAGGGTGATTCATGTTCAAGAAGTCGATGTACCTTATATTTTCTTGGTTGCACGAGTTATTTTATAATTGCGTTAATAACATTTAAATCGGCAAGTACAGCAGGATGATATTTATATTCTAAAACTATGGGTGGATCATTTTTGTTGACTGTCCCATCACAATTACACAGTGTTAGATCTAACAATCTACCATCGGTGTTCGTTATTTTGTTTATATTACTGACACACTGAGAGAAAATGTGCTGTTACTACTACTACTTGGACTGTCAATTTCAATAAGCCGTATCTAATTATTTTCTAAAGCCGTCGTTTACATTTTCAGATGGTATAGACGGCAAGCAGGCTCGCCGCACCGGTACCAGCGGCCCCCTGGGTGAGCTGTTCGATCATGGTCTCGATTCCTACACTGCCGGTCTCATTCCATCCGCCATCTACTCCATCTTCGGCAGGGGGCCCACGTACAGCATCGTACCCTTTCGCATGTTCTTCACTATGTGGAACGTACTGATGAACTTCTATCTCTCGCATTTCGAAAAGTACAACACGGGTGTACTTTTCTTGCCGTGGGGATACGACTTCTCCATGTGGGGGACCATCATCACATTCTTCATTACAGGGGTAAGGTATTTGAAACTATACTAAGTGACATATAAATCCGAACACCCAGTTTAAATGGTTTTATTTTAATAAAATTTTGTATAAGTACTTAATGAAGCATAATAAGTAAATGATAAAAATTTAAAAATGATTGCACTGCTTTAAAGCCCTTTGACCTTTAATAATGTGTGGATGCACGGATGTGCTACGCATTCTCCAACGCGCCTAGGCATGCTTCTGATCAGGTGGTCAATGTCCTCCTGTGGTATCTCATTCCAGGCAACCACCAACTCCTCTCGAAGTGCTTCTAGAGTCTGAGGAGGACGTTGCAAATTGAGCAATCTCCTACCCATCATATTCCACACGTGCTCAATTGGGGATAAGTCGGGAGATCTTGGTGGCCATGGTAACAATGTTGAAAGAAGTCTATTGTGACTCTTGCAACATGTGGTCGGGCATTATCTTTTTGGAAAGTTGGATCTGCCAGGGTGTCAAGATAGGGTAAAAGATGGCGTTCTAGAACTTCGTGGATATAACGCTGCGCGTTCATGTTACCTCTGATGAAGATTAAAGGTGACCATAACTCCAACAGTGTGATGAACATGTCTTTCAACAAAAAACTGTGGATTCCTCCTTTCACCACGTCGCCTTCTAACCCTGGCACGACCATCGTGCATGCCTGAACAAAATCGAGACTCGTCACTAAAGACAATACTGTTCCATTCCTGATCCCAGAGTGACCGTTGTCTGCACCACTCAAGGCGATTACGTCAGTGTTCTCGAGTTAAAGGGAGGCCCCAGTGTGGCCGGTATGAAAACAAGCCAAAACTTCTCATTCGTCGGTAAACACTTCGCATGCCAATAGGTCTTCCGTGTTCTGCAAACCATTCATTTGCAATGGACCTGGTAGTGGAGAAACGGTCCCTTAAGGCCAATGATCTTAGGCGGCGATCTTCACGGTCTGTTGTTCTACGGCGGCGTCCAGTGCCCCTTGCTCTTTGCGTACGGCCTTCTCGAAGCCATGCCTGACAACACCTAACCACAGTGTCTACACTTCTTTGCACTCTAACTGCAATTGCCCGAAAAGAAAGTCCAGCTTCCCGAAGTCCCACTATACGGCCCCTATCAAACTCACTAAGTTGACGAAATCGTACAGGTCTCCGTACTCTAGGCATCGTAACCGATCGTAAAGGATGCCAAGAACCAAAATCCGCCAACGTTGACTCTTTACTGCGGCTGAAATATTCATTTTTAGAGCGTTAGTGAATTAAAAAAAGCAGTATAAAAACCGGAATGTCCAACTGATAAGGCTGAAAATTTTTTCACTTGTTATTTACACTAAGATGAATACATTCACCAACTTTTATTAAAATAAAACCATTTAAACTGGGTGTTCGGATTTATATGTCACTTAGTTTAGTACGGATTTTTCTTTTACACCTATACAGGGTGTTTGTTAAGTATGTACCATAAGCTTAACAGACGGTTCTGTGAGTAATTTCAAGCCAAAAAGTTCATATAAACATGGGTCCGCAAATTGTTCGTTCTTAAAATATAGCGTGTTAAAGTTTAAAAAAAATGTTTTTTCGTAAATAGGTATTTCTCAACAAATTTAGAAATTTCATTTTGCATTTCTTAAAAAAAAAATAATGAAAATACATCATTTTTTTGCAGAAATATAAAGTTTAACTTTAGTGAGGTTCATTGAAAATGAAGGTCCTCCATATTTTTGTCTATAACATGTAGAAAAATGACTTTTAAGACTATGAAATGAGGGAATGGCTGATAGGATGGGGGAATGATTTTTACAACAATTTGATGCTGAATTTCAATAAAAAATATAAGTTAATTTATTAATAGATGTATTGAGATTTGTTTTATACTTTAAAGGGCACATCCTCGTATTTTCATCATTCTCTAAAAAATGAACATCACCCCTAACTTTCAGCATTTTGGAGCTAACTTTACGAGTACAGTTCTTTGTTTTTGAAAAAATGTTTCGATCTATATAGCAATTTGTATCTTTTGTACTTATTGCAGCTTCAACATGTAATATTTTTTCTTTTCTCCGTGTTTACTTGCAAGATCTTCATAGATATTCTTGAGGTCCGTTGGCAGTGCTTCTCCGAAAATGAGTCTTTTTCTTACAACGTCAGGAACTTGTATATTATTTAAAAGCGAAGACACTTTAGTTGCTGGAGAGTTTGGGTCAGTATTTTTAGTTTTCAATCTCAAACACCTCTTTTATATTTTTCGCTAAGCTTGACTGCGTTCCTCACTTTATTTTCCAAACTTTTAATCTTCGCGTACAGAATAGTTCCCCGCTTGCGCATTCTACTGAGAGCACACAAATTCTCTGCTCTGTGCCGTAAAGGTGGTGCAGGTATACAAGAGTTACTAAAAACTTCATGGAGAATCAAAAAATTAAAAAAAGCGGGGTTTCCATTTTGAAACCTAAAGTGAAACGCAATATCTTATTTTTGAATCGCCCTGTGTTGAACGGCTATAGATGAAAAGACGTCCCCCTAGAAATAAAAATTGACATGTTCGAGCGTTTTTTCCAAAATATACCAGGAGAGAGCCCCAAATGAGGGTGGGACCTTTTCGTTGGACCACACCCTGTATAATCTAGCCCTATTATATGTAAAATATAATTTCTAAGACAACATCCGCTTTGAATATGTCTTTATACTATATAATAATAAAAAATATATTTTATTTGTAGATCTTCGGATCCGACATGTGGCACTTCCGCATTGGCAGCTTCAACGCGGGCAATATATTCGAGATGCTGTTGTACGTCTCGTCACTCATATCAAACGTACCGGTTGTGATGTACAACATTTACCTTTCCTACAAGAACAAAACGGGCCATATGAGGCCGTTCAGCGAAGCAGTGCGACCTCTAGTCTCCGTTGGCTTGTTCTTCTTGGTTACTCTAGTCTGGGTTCTGTACTCACCATGTAACATTGTCGAAAAAGACGCCAGAGCTCTCTTCTTTTTGATGGGGACAATTTTTTCTAATATTTCTGTAAGTATTTCATGCACATTATTATAACCATACGGAGTGTTTCAAATTCGACCCTCAGCATTGTGATCTCGGAAATGGTAAGCGATACGAAGTTGCTTAAATGGGGGAAAGTTTCATATTCAAGTAACTAGCCTGATGCCGCTCAGAAAGTTTTGAAATACAAATTACTTGCCGAGGCAGTCGGAAAAACGAATTTTCCCAAAATCCTTTTATTTTTACCTGACTTTATTTGTGGTGGGATTTCAAAATGAATTGCACAGTAGCATTGTCACTGTTTCTCATCTACAAGCTGGTATAATTAGAATTTCAATATGAATATTTGAAATGGGATTTCAAAATAAATTGCATATTACACAGTTCTGCACGAAAATCCTTGTCGTCAAACACGTTATTTTGATAACTTCTACATATTTAAACCTTACACCGACCTTTAAATTCTCGTATCACGTAACCGAGTCCAGAGAGTACCAACAACATGCCTTGAGCAGTAGTAAGAATGTACCTGTGCAATATTTATCTTTCTATAGAATAATGGGGTACGACGTTGCCTAGTCTACGTTTTCTATTAGTATATATTCTATAGAAAAATCTGGATCCGCGGTTAAGGTAATTCAAGAGAGAGCTAGTAAAAATAAACAGAAAAAGTACAATGAATATAAATTATACCTCTTATTAGGGAGTTATTGAACGTCCAATAAATTCAGGCACTAATAATTCCTGGCCGTATTTGACATGTAAGCAGGCGCAGTAAAACAAAAATAAGACTTGGACTTAATAAAGTAAGTGCCTGCCACTATTGCAGGACACTTAAAATCGTGTTGTTTCTTTCTGTGCAAATAACTTAATTTTTATAGTAGTTTTTGAATATAAAATAAATTATGTACTTTGCTATTTTCTCGCTATTTAATTGGTCTAAATCGTGAACCCTTTCGCCGTAACATTCAAATAAAAAAATACTGATATTTACCTCCAACGAGTAGCAAAACACGAAGCACAAAAACAATAGCAAAACTTTATATACTAAGTGACATATAAATCCGAACACCCAGTTTAAATGGTTTTATTTTAATAAAAGTCGGTGAATATATTTATCTTACTGTAAATAACAAGTGAACAAATTTTCAGCCTTATCAGTTGGACATTCCGGTTTTTATACTGCTTTTTTTTAATTCACTAACGCTCTAAAAATGAATATTTTAGCCTCAGTAAAGAATCAACGTTGGCGGATTTTGGTTCTTGACATCCTTTACGATCGGTTACGATGCCTAGAGTACGGAGATCTGTACGATTTCGTCAACTTAGTGAGTTTGATAGGGGCCGTATAGTGGGACTTCGGGAAGCTGGACTTTCTTTTCGGGCAATTGCAGTTAGAGTGCAAAGAAGTGTAGACACTGTGGTTAGGTGTTGTCAGGCATGGCTTCGAGAAGGCCGTATGCAAAGAGCAAGGGGCACTGGACGCCGCCATTGAACAACATACCGTGAAGATCGCCGCCTAAAATTATTGGCCTTAAGGGACCGTTTCTCCACTACCAGGTCCATTGCAAATGAATGGTTTGCAGAACACGGAAGACCTATTGGCGACGAATAAGAAGTTTTGGCTTGTTTTCATACCGGCCACACTGGGTCCTCCCTTTAACTCGAAGGCGACGTGGTGAAAGGAGGAATCCACAGTTTTTTGTTGAAAGACATGTTCATCACACTGTTGGAGTTATGGTTTGGGATGCTATAGCTTATGGTTCCAGGTCACCTTTAATCTTCATCAGAGGTAACATGAACGCGCAGCGTTATATCCACGAAGTTCTAGAACCCCATCTTTTACCCTATCTTGACACCCTGGCAGATCCAACTTTCCAACAAGATAATGCCCGACCACATGTTGCAAGAGTCACAATAGACTTCTTTCAACATAATGATGTCACATTGTTACCATGGCCACCAAGATCTCCCGACTTATCCCCAATTGAGCACGTGTGGGATATGATGGGTAGGAGATTGCTCAATTTGCAACGTCCTCCTCAGACTCTAGAAGCTCTTCGAGAGGAGTTGGTGGTTGCCTGGAATGAGATACCACAGGAGGACATTGACCACCTGATCAGAAGCATGCCTAGGCGCGTTGGAGAATGCGTAGCACATCAGGGTGCATCCACACATTATTAAATGTCAAAGGGCTTTAAAACAGTGCAATCATTTTGAAATTTTTATCATTTACTTATTATGCTTCATTAAGTACTTATACAAAATTTTATTAAAATAAAACCATTTAAACTGGGTGTTCGGATTTATATGTCACTTAGTATAATTAATAATGTTACTGGAATTAAATCAGTCTTGGTACACTTTTAAACAAGATAAAAGTTTCTTTTATCCAATATTTCTAGGTTAGAAATAGTGCGCGGAAATGCACCCAGTAACTCTAATTCTGTAACCACTTTAAGATCAGTCTCCACTTGCTATTAAGACTGTCAGGTCGGCAGTGATAGTGGAGGCAGTATTTCAATAACTCCCTAATATCTATTTTCTGCATAGTTTTATGAGAACAGTTTTATTAATTAATGTTTGAATTAAATACAGGGTATTTTTAAAGTTGTGTCATTTATTTTAACTGCTTCTAGGACTCGTCAAAAGGAGTTAGTATACCAACAATCACATATATAAAAGTTGCATAATAAAAGAAATAGTAAAAGATTAAAGTTTAAAAAAATAAGAATGTTATTACACGGAGTTTTTTGATATTCTCTCTCACTGCCGTGTAAAATCTTAGCTTTTTTTGTTCACTACTCTTATCGTTGATCTAAATTTGGCAAACTTTTTGTGTTATTGTATGGTTTTCAGTACGAGTCTTTGGTTCAATCAGTTGTATCGGTCTTTTAATAGTGCATATGCTTCCATCTGTCTGATTATTTTGTGCGAAAAAATGGCTCATATTTAAGAAAACAATGAACTAGTGGACACAATCCTAACATTCGGAGAGTGCCAACAAAATGCCGCCGCAGAATGGCGATTGTATGCGGAAAGGGTTCCTCTGAGAAATCATCCGAACCCACGGATGTTTGAAAATCTATATATTAGACTTCATGACATAGGGTACTTGAAAGAACAACGAGGACCCAACAATGAGTACTATATCAATAGCAGCTCAAGTTGAAGTTTCTCATAGTAAAGTGACAATACGACATGAACAGAATTATCTTTATCATTATCAACGGGTCTTGTACCCGTTATAACCTGAAGATCATCTTAGAAGGGTTGCATTTTGCCAGTGGCTTTTAGAACAGTTTGGCAGAAATTAATATTTTACGAAATTAATTTTGTGTACAGACAAGGCCACATCTACATGAAATAGAGTGCACAATTTGCACAACAATCATATTTGGGCAGTAGAAAATCGACATGCTGTGAAAAGAACTCATTTTCAACATATATTTTCATTAAATGTTTGGGCTGGCGTGGTCAATGGCATGTTTATTGGACACTTTTTTTGACCTCGACTGACATGTGAAATTTATTTAGATTTTCTTCGACATAATCTGACACAATATATGACAACATAATAGGAAATATAAAAACTTTTGCTCGACAAACAATACACCCTGGTGTAACAAGAATATTAAGGCAGCTCAAAATTTGAGAGACAAACAATACAAAAATGTATATTCACAAAATCAAATGATGATTGGGAGGTATATAAAACTCTTAGGAATAAATGTGTGTATGTAATTAGAGAAGAAAAAAGGAAATTCTACGATAATAAGTGCGACATTGTAAAGATGTGGAAGACTTTAAAAAGACTGATCAATTCGAAGCCGCATGATTGTGTAAATCAAGTTCAATTCGAAAACGGTACCGAAACAAATTCTTTGGTGATTGCAAACAAAATTTCACAGCGTATCATTGAATTATCTAAGAAAAAAAAGTAAACAGTTTAAAATCAAATAACAACTGTGCCGAAATCACTACTAAAAACGTGCTGAAAAACTGTTTCGAAATTTTGGGATATCCTGTATTAAATTGGATCAATTGTTCACTGAGAAGCAGTCCTTTTCCTGAAAATTTGAAATGCTCTACAATAACACCAGTTCCCAAAATAAAAAAATTCTAAAAGATGCAGCGATATGAGACCAGTAAATGTGTTACCAGACATTGAAAAATTATTAGAGTCCATAGTGCATGACCAATTAATGCAATTTATAGAAGAAAACAAAATTTTAGTGGAGGCGCAAGCAGGCTTTCAAAAAAAATATTCCACAGAAACGGCTTTCCAGTTGGTAACTGAGAATTGGAGAAGAGCCATAGACTCAGAAGAAGTTGTCATAGTAGTATTTTTGGATTTGAAGAGGGCATTTGAAACGATTGATAGAGATATTTTGTTAGGTAAATTGAAGGCATATGGTACAACAGGAAGTGTTTTAGATTGGTTTAGAAATTATTTGTCTAAAAGGATGCAAGTTACAAAAGTTAATGACACCATTTCATCAAAAATTGAAAATACGTTGGGTGTTCCACAGGGCAGTATCCCGGGACCACTTCTTTTTATTTTATACATAAATGATTTACCTGCCATAGTAAAAAAATGCAAAATTCAGATTTTCGCCGATGACACTATGATTTATATAAGTACTAAAAATATTCAGACTGGTATCTCTTATATAAACGAAGACTTGAAACTTGTCTCAAAATGGTTAGCATCTAACAGACTAAAATTAAATACAAGTAAAACGAAAGCCTTGTTAATCGGAAAAAAACAATGTACAAATGTTCAACTGAATATTGATGGTGAAGATATTGAATTCGTAGAAAATTTTAAATACCTGGGAGTTTTTGTTGACTCTCGATTAATTTTTGATATTCATTATGAAAAAGTTATAAATAAGATTAGTAGTAAAGTGGGATATTTATCGAGAGTTTCTGGATGTCTTAGTTCATATAGCAGAAAAATTATCTATAATACCAACATTCTCCAAATTTCTTGTTCTGTTCGACTATTATATATTTAGCAAATAATTCCATTTTTTAAAGATTGCAAATTTTACAAAATAAGTGCGTGAGAATAATACTAAATAAAGATAAATATACTCCAATTAGGCAAATGCTTAGCAAATTAAAATGGCTCAATATAAAAAATTTTATCAAATATCTTGTAATGATATTCATTTATAAAGTAAAAAATAATATATTTCCATCAAGTCTAACTAATTTAACATCATCAAATGTCGACCATCATAATACCAGAAATAAAGATGACTTCCATTTAATGACCAAAAAGTATAACATATGCTACAAATCTGTATTCCATCAAGGGTTGATTGAATATAATAAATTATACTCGGAGATAAAAGACCAGAAAACTTTGACAGAATTTAAAGTAAAATTGAGAAATCACTTGTTAAATCTACAATTACAGCTTGCCCAGCATTTACATCATACACCATATGGCTTGAATTTACTAGTTTTAAGTTATTTACAATTATTCTGTTTATGTAGCCAAATGTACTAAATAAATATTTCTACTACTACTACTACTACAATTATTAGATGTTCCTCTAAATGTGAGACAGAATACGTGGTTCCTACATGATGGGGCTCCACCACATTTTAGACGAGAAGTTCTTGGACATCTAAAATGAGTTTCCGAATAGATGAATAGGGCGCAATGGGCCCATTTCTTGGCCTGCTCGCTCCCCGGATTTAATGCCTTGCGATTTTTGTCTGTGGCGCTATTTGAAGGAGTTGGTGTATCATGATGGAGCGGTAAATACTCTGGAAGAACTTCAACAGCACACTGAAAATGCTTGTGATTTAATTCGTGAACACCACGCTTTTATTTTCGAAGCTTGTAAAGAGTCGAGCAAGATTTTGCGTTATTGCAACATATGGGGACAATTTTGAACAGTTTTTGCGAAAACGGTATCCATTTAACTTGATAATAATTTATTTGAATAATTTTTAATAATGTAAACTAACTCTCTTGTTATGCAACTTTCATATAGGTGACTTTTAGATATATCAACTTCTTTTGACGATCTCTACAAGCTGTTGAAATAAATGACTCAACTTTGAAAACACCCCGTATAAATGTTCATATAAATTATTTGTGGAATTGAAAATGATCCCAACATCTATGTAAGCTAAGTCTAAGTAGTGAGGTATGTTATACTGAATGCTATTATCTTTTCAGTGCCGTCTGATAGTTGCTCAGATGAGCCACACCAGGTGTGAGATCTTCAACTGTCTATTAATTCCTACCTCAGTGGTTGTTGGTATTGCGGTTGTCACCAGGCTACAAACGTTAGAACTGTTTTTAACGTATGCGCTGTGTGTAGTTGCAACATTAACGCATCTGCATTACGGAACATCAGTGGTGAGTATGCTTAATAGGCCGAAACTTTCTACAGTTTTCATAATGTTGACACACGGTTTGTGTAAGAGTATTATTACCGGCAACAAGGTGGTCACGTTACCGGTGGAACAAAGTACCTGAAACAAGTACATTTGACCCCCAAGACGTCAACGTAGTATCCAGCTTAATGCTGGCAACAGCTTGATTATCATTATTAATGACAAAAATATACATTGAAAATCAATTTGGACATATTTGCGACAGGCTGGTGATAGAGAACCCCACACTAACTGCTAATTGAATTCGAACCGTCGGCATCGATTTATTGAAGTAAATCGAAATATAGTAATGGGCAAAAGTACATAGACAAATTAATATTGTGCTGTATTTCTTTTTTAACTTGTTTTATTAATACACCAACCTGTATACATAATTCGTTATAGCATAATACTCACTTACACATAAATAAATTCATTAGACTCCCTTCAATAAAGAATTAATTGAAAAAACAGGAACTATGAAGGACAAAAATATATAGACAAAGCAAAACGATTATAGAAAAAAGAAGCAAAGTTCATTGAATTATAGAAAACCAACCATGTTTGTGTTAATATTTTGTAGCATAACCATTATTATCAATCACCGCCTGGCATCGTCTCGGCATAGATTGTAGAAGTTTCTCGATACAAGATTCATCAATCTCTCTCCACTTTTGCTCTAAAGCGGCAAAAAGTTCATGCTTGTTTGAATAATTTTATCTTGTATTTGCTTAGCTAAGTATTCACATAGATTTTCAATGGGGTTTATATCGGGAGACTGTGATGGCCATTTGAGAACTGGTATTTTTTCATCCAGAAAGAATTTCTTTGCGAGATTTGAAGTGTGCTGCGGGTCATTATCTTGCTGGAAGATTGATCTTAAGTTCATATTGTCTTCCATATAGGGTAACATGACATTCTTTAGTATGTCTGTGTATACAAACCTATCCATAATGCCATCTATTCCATGTAAAGGTCCCATCTCAGACCCCGAAAAGCACCCCCAAACCATAACAGACCCGCCTCCATGTTTGACAGTGGGCAAAGTGTACTTGGGGTTCAATCTTTGTCCACTAGGACGTCTAACGTAATGAACACTATCTGATCCAAACATATTGCACTTGGATTCGTCACTGAAACATACCCTCTTCCAGTCACAGATGGTCCAATCAAGATGCAACCGTGCAAATTGTAATCGGTCCTTACGGTTTTTCCTCGAGATTAGCGGCTTCTTACTCGGGTGAAGTGTAAATAACTTCAAATCATTTAATCTTCTACTTATAGTTCTCGTAGAAACACTGACAATTCCTTTTGTCCCGATTTCGGCTTTTATTTGTCTTGGGGTTTTAAACGGATCTTTGGACGAAATTACTTTTTTTAATCTAACTGATCTAGCATTTAGCTTTCTAGGCCGACCACTTCTCTTAGAGGCTTCAAAGATACCTTTTGTTCATATATGTTCAATATTGCCCAAACTGATTTACGCTTCAGCTTCAAATTTCTGGCAATGTCGACTTGACGTTGACCATCTACGTATAACTCAATGATCTTAGTTTTCACATCGAAATAAATTTCAGGACCACGTGGCATGGTCTTAAAATCACTCAACTTATTTCACAATACTTGATGAACACAAGCTACTCTTCTGACACGAAACTGCACTAAACTAATGTGGAAAAGAATTTGTCTACATATGTTTCTCCCTTAAAGAAGTGCTTATATTCAGACTTGTATTGTGTTCATTGCAAATAATGTAAAAACAAGGAATTTAGTTTTTCTACTAATAACGCATTTGTTTATGGAGCAATGAAGTATGAATTCGTTTTCTAAAGGTGTATTTTGTGTAAATAATCATATTTGTCTATATACTTTTGTCCATTACTGTATATCGATTACGATATTTAAAAGCGAAAGATGGATATACAAGATGTTAATGAAGTATGTAAATGTGAATTCAACAGATGCTTCTTTGAGTAATTTTAAGACAAACAGTTGATATAAACATTGGTCCGCAGTGATCGGTATGTAAGTATTGTATTTGGCGCTACTGTATTTGTACTGGAAAATTATTGAAAATAAAAAAGAGAATGTGGATACATCCAATCATCGCAAAGGCAGCAAAAAGGTCATTTTCAGACATTGTTTGCTGAAGTACAAAGAGATGAAACATGTAATACGGATAGCCAATAAAGAATTTTAATTTGCCATTATTTCTTGTACTGTTCGACTATTCTATGTTTAGCAAATAGTTCCATTTTTGAAAGACTGCAAATTTTACAAACAAGTGCATGAGAATAGTACTGAATAAAGATAAATATACTCCAATTAGACAAATGCTTAGCAAATTAAAATGGCTCAATGTAAAATTTTTATCAAATATCTTGTAATGATATTCATCTATAAAGTAAAAAATAATATATTTCCATCAAGTCTAACTAATTAAACATCATCAAACGCCGACCATCATTTACATAATACCAGAAATAAAGATGACTTCCATTTAATGACCAAAAAGTATAACATATGCTACAAATCTGTATTCCATCAAGGGTTCATTGAATATAATAAATTATACACAGAGATAAAAGACCAGAAAACTTTGACAAAATTTAAGTAAATAGAGGAATCACTTGTTAAATCTACATTTATAGCTTGCCCATCATTTACATCATACATCATATGGCTTGATTTACTAATTCTAAGTTGTTTACAATTATTCTGTTTATGTAGCCAAATGTGCTAAATAAATCTGTCTACTACTACTACATAAATAATTTATACCTACCTAAGTGCTTCTTTTCGTCAATTGTGCTGCTTCTTTGGCAAACAAATTTTTTATTACCGCACAACATTTTCTTCTCATAACTCTATGGCTGTGTTCGTTTTTCCTCATATCCCAAAGTGGCGGTGGATTTTATACTTCGCCAATTAAATTAACATTATCAATTTTTGTCTAGCCATTTCTATACAAAACGAGTCGACAAACGTACCTGTCTTAATAGAGCTATCTAAAGACGTGGAAGACACCACGCGTCACAAAATTAAACCGACTCGATTCCTGAGATCCGCATGAAAAGACAGGCGTGACTATTAATGGTATATTACAGGGGCACCGAGTCGATAAACTCTTCGGTTAAAACCGCTGTCTGTCTTCACTCTTAGTTTTGGAGATATCCCTGGACCACTCAAGGAATATGGGGAAAAGTTTCTTTTGGAAATTATTTATAATTTTTCATTCCTAATTATGTAACATCAACAATAAATACTAGATAATATTAACATCTAGACTAACAATTTCACTAAATTAAGATTGGAAATGGCCCCCCTTCGGCTTCAATACAACCGTGTAGCTGTCTCACGAATGAAGTACGCAACTTCATGAAAATACCTGGCGTATTTTTATTATGTCACATGAATCTATGATTCTATTCCGTAATCATCTTCACTTTCAGTAGGAGTTTTGTATACCAATGCTTTAAGGTGTCCCCAGAGAAAACAAATCTACGGTATTCATATCGGCGAGCGAGGAGGCCATAGATGTGGGCCTGTTCTCCCAATCCAGCGATTATGGCAATTTCATCAAAAATTGCAGCGCCCACTGCACTAAAGTGTGGTGGAGCCCCCTCGTGCATGTACCACATACGGAATCGTTCCGTGTCTGGGACTTCATCTAAAGTCCAGGTAAAACAAATTCTAAAATCTTCTCCATTAAGTCCAGGTGGAGAGAACGAGGCCCAATGAGATGGTCACCGATAATTCCAACCCAAATATTAAAAGAAAACTTTCTTGTAGGTTATGTTCTCTTGAGGCGTATGGATTGTTTTCTGCCCAAATGTGAAAGTTATTAAATTGCGAGAAAACAAGCTTCATCTGTAAACAATATTCGACTTAAAAAACTTGGATTCCTTATCATTTTACTGTATAACCAATCAGAAAAAGCTAGTCTTAAATTTCTAAGCAATAGAGCTTGCACACGGTGCATATGATATGGATATACCTGCTGGTCTCTCGAGATCTGCCACACTGTAACGGGTACTATTCACTTCTTCAGCTGTTTTCCGAGTTGCAGGCCTCCCAATGACAACCGTCGCTCTTTTAAAGCTGCCTGTTTCCGAAATTCGTGCATGGAGACGTAAAAAGTTCTTCTATTAAACACTACACGCTGAGGAAATATTTCATCAGAAATACATCTTGCAGCATTATAGGTTCCATGAGCCCTTCTATAACAGACACGCATATCTGCCATTTCACTATTATTAAATTGTACCATATTGGACAAACGTAACCACTAAAACACTTTTTGTAAAATTATAAATTGACGACTGTCAAGTTGCTTACTAAGTGCCATATCCTACAATATATTACGCCTTATAGCCTCCCTGATTTTCATAGCGTTTTCTCTCCTTCAAAAAGGCTGGGGTATTTCTAGATTTCACCTGTTCCGTGTTAGCGTCTTAGCGTCACCCGCTCTCCTAGTGTGAAGTTAGGTTTTCTTTATGAATTGTAGGAAAATTTTATTCTGATAAAACAGATGATATAAATCAAAAGCATGAAAAATTTGATGACATACCTCAAAATAGAGCGCTGACGCGGAAACAGTAGAAAACTATGACAATCAAGGAGGCATAAAGTCATTCTACAGTTGTAGGAACGGTTGACGATACGGCCCTTAATGCCCGCAATCGTTTTCCAAGGCAACAACCCTTGATTATTATTTACTATTTCCTTAGTTCAATAAAATTCATTAGTTCAGATGATAATTTAATGTAATTTAATTAGTGTTTATTTGTTGATGTTCTAATTTCCAAAATAATATTTCCCCATATTCCTTGGTATATGGCGTACATTTTTAATAAGTTAATAAATTTAATCAAGCTAGGGCTAAATTAGCTCCTTAATGTTATAAATACCACACCTAAATTGCAACAAAATTGGGATATTTACGAAACACCATTTTTTTATTTTATCTTGAAAACGAAGAATTGGCGGACTATGTTTAAATGAACTTTTTGTCTTAAATTACTCAAGAGTCGTCTGTTATATTGTATCGTACATACTATATTTTTCATGTAAAATAGTAAAAGCCACGCTTAAAAGTTTGAGTTTATGCTGCTATCAGATGCTGCTTACAAATGCTATAGGTCATATGGGCCAAACATGGCGGTCACTGTCGTCGCATGTCTAAGAAAATATATATTTTAAATTAGTTTTACGGTCGTTAAGGTTTGAAAAATATAGCATTAATTTTTTCAACTAACCCATTATTGTCCGGTCTAAAAAAATCCTTGTACTTGAGTATAAATGACGCAGTTGTCGTTAGAAGACTACTATCTATTCTCAATGCTTCTAAATGTTTTATTTTCAGGTAAGACAAATGTGTAAGCACTTCAAAGTAAATTGCTTCACACTAAAGGATCGCACGGATTGACTCCTTGCCGACAACGCATGAGAATGTGTTGTCTCTCGGAGCCACCCTCAGGAGGTGTTATTATTTATGATCCATACCACTTGTTGTATATATTTTGTATAATTTGGACTTACTAGTGTAACTTTTTGTTGTTGTGTGCTGAGGGTGCGTACAGAGATCTGCCTAGTTATTTTTATGCTATGATTTTTGTAATGAATTCTAAAAGACTTTTTTATCCTCTATTTTGTGCCAGTATGCATTGTAGGTTTTTGTTATGTGAAAATAAAATTCATCAATTATATTCGTACTTCATTTGCGGTTTATGTCGTATTTGTATGGATATGTTTTGCGGATGCCGCAGGGGTATTACGTAAAATATCGATATACGTCATTACAAATAGGTAATCTAGATGAAAATAAAGGACAATCGTCATCTATGCCTGATGAAGCAAGTAAGCAGAAACCAGGTATGCTGGCGAATAACTTTTCGTTCCGCCTCACTTTTACTCTTTATTGAAAATATTCACTTTCACACTATTTTCACTCTCGCTGTTTATGGACGTCTTCGAAGAAGCTGTCCTCCTTTTCGCAAGCCCCACGAAATTAAATGACGTGTTTTTTTATGAAAATTATCTATGATGATTAGTTGAAATCTACGTTGAATTTAAACTCAACTTTGCTAAAAGCACTCTATATATGGTATATGCACTGGGTATTTAAAATTCGGAAACGGTAAAGCATTGCAATACAAGCCAAAGTTGCGCATTTAGAGAAAGAGACGGAAAATATGAATGTAATCTGAACCATTTTCATTTTCTCCTGGCTTAATTTTGTTGGGCTTTCAATTTAAACTGCTTTGTAAAAGTAACTGTTACAATGTTAGTTCATTAGCATGCATTTGTGGGACAAATCTTGAAATTGAATTTTGGACCAATTAACCTTAACCGATTGAACTAACATTTTGTATGCCTGTCTACATAATGGTGATTTATCATTTCCATAGCATATAATATGGGTATCAAATGAAAGAACGTGATGAGGGAAACACAATAACCAAAGTGTCGTCATTTCAAATCAAATGTATCGACCGTCGCAAGATGGCGTTTATAATTTCTATAGTTACCCATATTATACGGTTATCGACTGAAAGGGCTTGAACATTGATTTATAATTTCGATAGTCACTCCCATATTATGGATACAAATGAAAGAGATTGATGAAACACAATAAGCAAAGTGACGTCATTCTAATCGGAACGTTAACACGTTCAATGCCACTGCCGCCTATTGGCGACACCGATGTCTAAACTGCTGTGCCTCCGTCGCCATAGGGCGACGCTTGTGATCTATTATTATATGGTGCTTCAGGTGGCATACATTTTAAACATTTTTGGGAACTTTTACGTAAGCTGTTTGTCCTAAATTCTACCTGTAGTGCCAGTGTCGCCATCTAGCGACCAAAAAAAATATTTGTACTCAGGTAAGAAAATATTCGATAATTACAATTTAAAATGCGAAAGGCTTTCGCGGCCATCATCCAATGTTATTTGGTTGGTTTTTGGGTAGTTAGACCGTCGCAAATTATTTTTTTAAAATTACAATATATCGCTCTTTTAGTATCATTTTAAGCAATTTTCAGGCAAAAAAATTAAAAACCCCCTTGTCCCTGACTACATGTAACAACATTTTACTGGCAGCGAACGTGTTAATATGACAATTGACATGGAGATGATCTCATGATGAAGCCAGGAAGTGGACATGGGAACCCATCGAATAAAGCCTCACTCAATTCCTAATGACATGTCTGATGACTAACTTAGTCAATTATTGTGTAAACAATACTCATCTATAATAACATATCAATTTTCAACTTTTCAACATTATATAATTCGTTAAAATGTGGGTTCAATCAGTTGGGCAAGAATACTCATTAGATATAAGTACGTCTCCTGTATTTACAAGAATTCGTTATATTTTGTGTTTCATGCGTGGTATGAATTTGATTTGATTTTTGCTTCCGTCAATATAACAATAACAAATACCTTATAAGAGTTGTTTCTCGTTTTTTTTCGCACAAACGTTTGCTCACAAAATTACCAAGACATATTCCAAATAAATTAAATATTAACGCATGGGTACTTCAAGGTTCAGTATTAGCTCCGCAGGGGGATCCTGTAAAGACCTATAAAACGTCAAAAAAACCTATAAGATGTCATCTTGCAAACTAGTTAGTTTTTAGGGTGCAAACTGTCATTCCCCGTTTGCTCACTAGGATCGTTGTGAACGTCCCATCTAGGAGGAATCACTCAACTAAACTAAACGCATTATGGTTGCATATGTTTTGTGAGATCAAATGGTTCTTGTCTGTAGTGTTTATCACTGAGAACTTTACAATGTTCTCGAATCAAGAGTTGGTCGACATGTTGTTAGTTTACGGTTAAGCTCGTCAGAATTCACCTATCGCTCGGGTTACCTATCCTATTTTCTGCTCGAATCCACTTTCCTCTTTTTTGCGGATTTTGCCGTTGTCGTTTTTTCCCCTCTCCATCTTCGTTTCCTCGGGTTACACCCGTATCCGGATGTGTGGGCATGTGTATCTACTTTTGTAGTTTCATATGTGCATTCATTTCGGGTCTGATGAAGCCAACCAGCAGAAATACGTATCGCATCGGGTACCTATCCTATTTTCTGCTCGAATCCACTTTCCTATTTTTTGCGGATTTTGCCCATTATTTTTCTACTTTATATATACAGGGTGTCCGCAAAGTTGGGGTTTTCCTTTTCAGAAACAACTACCCTTGAAATAACAAAGGTAATGTGTAGTGAAACGAGGGCGACCAAGTAAAAAAAATAAAGGAAACGGTACTCACTCTCCAGTTGACGAGAAGGGCTAAGTACGTCTCTGCCCTAAATCATACCGCTCCAACAGAAATGAAATCAGCTGAAGCGCTATCGAGCAGACGCAGAAACTACATTGATTGTCTTACACTTAATGGCACATCTTCTAACAAGGAATGCAAAATGTTGCGTGAAAAGTCTAGGTATTGCATCCCGTCCAATCGATTTGGGAGAATAAATGGTCCAATGAGCATACCGTTCACCATGCCAGTCCAAACATTCACCGAAAATGTTTGTTGAAAATGTGCCCGACGGACAGCGTGCGGATTTTTCTACTGACTAAACATGAGTGTTACGAAAGTTATTCACCCCATTACGCGTGAACGTAGATTCGTCTGTCACCAATATGCACTTCAAAAAGTCCGGATTATTGTCATGTTGATGCAACAACCACTCACAAAACCGCACTCTTGCTGGAAAATCGTCAGGTTGAAGGGCTTGTACACGTTGGACGTGAAACGGATACAGCCCCTCTTCACGCAGCGTTTTGCCACACTTTAGTTTTTGATACTTGCACTTCTCTAGCCACGTCTCTAGTGCTTGTTGTTTTTTGAAACGCAATCGATTATACGAGTTCGTTACCTCTACACGCGTGACCATAACCGTCGGTTGAAGGTTGCATACTAACCTGACACGATGACCCCGACCCAGTTCTGCCGTCGGGTTGAGACCTTGTACCACTGGGTGATGTCCCGGGTCGCGGCTACAGGACGGTATTCAGATATTTTTGATGTTGCAGAGCCCTTTATCTATCTCGGTTCCCTTAAGACATGGGTGTATATGGTACTAAGAAAAATTGCTTATGTTTTCAAGATGCCTTTGTTAATGTAGTACAAAGGGCTCGTGAATCAGGTGACTTAAGACCTCACAGGGGAGGGCATGCCGGTGCTCCAAGACCGCACGATCAAATACAGGTCCGCACTGAAATACTTGTCGGGAGGATACTTTATAAACAAGGTAACATTTTTTTTTATTTATTTTTTATTTTTACACACATATTCTGGTTTATCTTCCTCCTACAATCATTATCTGAAAATTAATGACGCAACTTCAAAGTCACCCTGTATATAAAAGTATAGCAATCTCAGATATATTTGTAGAGCTGGCAAAGTTGCGGGGTGTTAATGCACAATTTGGCAACCGTGTCGAACCCTCAAAAAAGGGCCGCTGACAAACACACAAGTCACCGTGTTGCCAAGTTGCCATTGAATAGTATGGAATTAAACCTCAGACTAAAAATATAAATAGACAAATAATTCCGTACAAAATATCGTCGTCAACATAACTGTATTTACAGTAAACAAATATATGCGACGCTGCCACTTCTCCAGACTGAAAAATCTATTGAAAATGGAATGAGATATTGGTGTGCACTCCGCCCGAAATGAAGGTGGACTTAAATAAGGTGTGGACGCTCCGGTCGATCGTGGGTCGATCAAACAACTGCTCCTAGGCAGTTGTCAATGTCATTTTAAATTTTAAAAAATTTATTTTTTCTTTTCGTGTTTGTTTATACTCGCAAAAACGGTCACAGAGGTGGCCGACACGCCATAAATTCAATTCAAACGGATGCAGGTTCATGTTGGGTAATTCATAGCGAACATTACATATAATATTTTGCCCAGTCAGTTGTTTGACTGGATTTGTTCCACCTTGGACGAAACTTGCTCTCATTCGAACTAGCACATTTCTACCGACTTTTTGCCGAACGTGGCAACGGTGTTCAACGGCAAGTGTGATGCGTATGCGTACACAGAATTTACAAACATCTGGTGTTTGTTGTTGTGCACGGTGAATTTGTTGCGAGTATTCAAAAATGTTTTCAGGTTGTTTTAGCGGCAATTATAGCATTGTTATCATTGATAGACAATTTTCAAAGACAATGGGACGTCGGAAGTGCATTCTTTGTGGAGTTAGCAGTGAAAAAAACTGAGGCAACCTTCCACAGGTGAGTAGAGGTTAGAGGAGGACAAGGGCGTAGCGCATGGGGATGCGTTGTGATTTTTAGTATTAAGAAATAGACATTTTATAGTTATTGGTTGTTTTTACACTGTATGTGTGGTGATTTTCAAAAAAATACTCTTCTGTTAGACACGTTTTTGATCTTTCAGGTTTCCTAGTGATAAGAAAAAACAAGAAGAATCTCCAATGGGTGAATGAAAGATGAAAGTTAAACTTGGCGTCCAGACTTTGAGCAAGAGTGTTGCAGAAGCATTGGACTTTTTGAACAAAGATCTGGCTATGGCTGACTTCAAGGATTCAGAAGCTACAGCAATATTTTTGTAGAACAGTAAACAATTTATTTGATGTTTTTAATTCAAGGAATAGGATGTCAAAATACCTTATGAGAACCGTTGTCACCTGCTACTAAACAATATTTCAATTTCTTAGAAGAAAGCGAAGGATTATTTGAAATCGTTAAAATTAGGAGACACTAGAGTTATACCTTCTAGAAGAAAATTAGGATTTTTGGGATTCATAATTTCAAAAAACAGCCTGTATGAATATAGAGTCAAAGAAACCAAAGAGCTGAAGTACCTTCTCACATATAAGTTATCTCAAGATCATTTGGAAATTTTCTTCAGTTGTATAAGAAGCAAAGGAGGATACAGCAATAGTCCTACCTCGAAGCAGTTTCAGAATATTTAAAAAAAATTACTTCATACTGAAATAAGTGGCAATGAAGCATCCAATGTCGTGGCATTAGATAGTACATCCATTTTGCACTGTTCATCATCATCTTTAGAGATCAAAATTAGTGAGGATATGACCTCATCATCAAACAGTATAGAGGAAGATGAAGATTTTATACAATTTAAAAACTTTCTTCGAATAAGTCCTTGGTAGCTTAAACTGTATTTGGAAGATGTTGTTGCATATGTTGCAGGTTTTGTTGTAAAGAGGCTAAAAAAGTCTATAAAATGCGAGAGTTGTTTAGATTTGTTAGAAACTTCAGGAGAGTCTATATCGAAATTACAAATAAGAAAAACGTATGGAAAATTAGTTAAAGCCTCCGCTTTTGTAATAAATGTGTGTAAATATGAAGAACATTGCTTTAGATTATATAAGAAAAGGTTAGAAGTTGGCAAAAAAAATATGACAAGAGCTTCACAAATATTACCAAATTATACATTGCAAAATTTACCTCTTGGATTCGGAAATGTGTTTAAGGACCATGTATTCGAAGATGAACCTTTAAGTAATCATTTTCCATTGCTCTGTAAACAAGTTTTAGAACAATATTTTACCATTAAGTTGTACCATTATACCTCTAACTTGAATGCCCCTTCAAAACGTGTACGATCATTACTCATAAAAAGTATATTATTTCAAAATCAATAAAACCTGATAATTACAAAAAAATAAAAAGCAAAATTATAAAATGAATTATAAATAATGACTTAGGGAGAGTGACAAGTCCAAAGGAATTGTTTTACTGAAATATGCACTAAATCTCCAAACATGGATTGACTACTATAAAATAATGTATAAACCTACCCCCAATGTTGACTTTAGCTTTTTAGATGTTTTACATCCATGTCTGGATCAGCATATATCAATACAAGAAGTTTTTGACGCGCTAAATGGCTAAAATGACTATCAGAGTCTACAGAGTACACTAAATCCCCAAGTATACCGTTATGTATAAAACGATTTATAATCCAACTTAAGCTCCACAATAAATAGTCTCAAATCTTCCTAAACAATATTTCATACAGGGTTGACCAAACAATATGTAATACTCGGAAGACCGAATTTTTAGGACATCTCCTCCTGGAATGTCCATTATACAATCCATTGAGAGAGCATATTCTGTCAGATCGTTTGAACAAATCTGTGTCTTGCTTGCCTAAAACGAATGAGTTGAATTTATGATACAAACTTTTTAAATACTTTAGGGAATTATTTAAGCTAAGATCTTTCTTAAGAATGAATAGTTTTTGTGCCTACAATATCAAGACAGAAATTTAAATTGATGCGTCAATTATTTATTCTTTTTCTGTTTGTTTAATATTTTTTTATACAACTTTTGATCATGGTTACTATTTTTTTTGTATTCATACTCTGGACAGGAAAGTTTCTACTCAATTCTTATTATTTACATAATACTCTCTCTTGTTTATATACCTTTGTACTAGGTATTATGAAACAATAAACCTGATAATTAAGTTCCAATAATAAAACCTTGTTTACTTCTCTGTGTTTATTCTTTTCACTGCCATGGAAGGTGATACTGGGTGTATTAACCAGAACACCATTACAAAAAAGCACCTACGCCACTGGTGGAATCAGCTGTGGTCTGCACATACACAGCTTATTGTTTGTATTTGTTTTGAATTTGGTTTGTTTGTCTTCATGCAATACAGTGCCGTAAGAATGGTAAGTCTATTTATATTTTTAGTCTGAGAATTAAACCTTCTTCAGTGTATATGCTTTGTGGTTAGAGTCCTATTTATAGTTAATTTGGGGATTCCAGGATTGGTGATTTTCTCAATAAAACTTGACTGAAAACCTGGCACCCTGATGATGCCGCATCTGGCCGTGACTTCGCATGTCAAATGTCAAGAAAAACTAACCTTATTTTTCTCTTTTCATTATAAAAGACATGATTGCCTACGAATTGATGATTTTATATAGGCTGATGCCTAAGGTGAGACAGCTGTTCTGTTTTGATGTATCTTATGATTATTGCTTAATTTTTTGTAGCCTGAACTAAGAACTGCTCTAAAAAGAACATCCGAAACAATCTTCCAGAAAGGGGGCATCATACGTAAATTAGAGAACTTGGGAACAAGAGATTTACCGTTTAAAATCAGTGTGCATGGTGTGGTTTACAACAAAGCTGACTATTTCTTATTTGAATTCAATGCACCGCCGTCATCTATAGCGAGTCTGTTCGATGAGTACATCAGGGATGTGTGATGTAGTACGAAGAAGACTATATAAGAAAACTGAACCAGTAGGATTTGAATGTACCTTGGACAATGAAATGAAACCTCCACCATACAGAAATGATGTGCTAAACCTCATAGAACAAGCTAAATCACAACAAGGGAAACCTAAATTTGAGTACAATACTAATTTAGACCATTATCCTTTCCAAAAGTGAAGTGTTTCCTGCAAACACAAGTTGTTATTCATTTATTAAATGTAGGTGTTAATTAGTGATACTATATGTTTGCTCCAGCACAGTAAGGAATGAGAAACAGTTCATAAATTAATATCTGTGGAAATATAGTGAAAGATAAAATGGATGCATTAGTACAGTTTTAACTTTTCTAACATGGGGTATGTAGAACAGACATACTCATACAGAGTCCATTTGATATGGATGTGTTTGTCAAAAATACATACGAACTACATAAAAAAGAACAAGAAACTATTTTTTTTTTCCTATATTCCAGTCCTGCACTGTCAACTTTGAACTACAACACTGTTTATATATCACAAGCAATTTCCCAACATTCCTCACAGCTTTGACTGTCTCCTTTAATCTGGTTTCACTATACAGGGTGTTAATTATGTACCATAAATTTAACAGATGATTCTTTGAGTAATTTTATGGCAAAAAGGGCATTAAACATACGACCGCAAATTCTAAATTCTCAAGATATGGGGCCATTCAAGTACTACGTAAGCAGATTTATTACAATTATTTACATCCCCCTTTCACCAAAAGTAAGCAAAGCTCTTACCCTCTCCCCCCATGCTTACGTAAACATTTATCAATTAATGTATTGTTTTTTTAATATTATAATTATCACCTTACAATTATAATTTGAAAAATAAGAAAATAGATTTAGGATATAGATTATATTTTACTGATACAGTATTCAACATAGAGTAAAGGACAAAAATATTATATCTTACTAACATAACAAACTTATTTTAAATTTTTGGTACATATATTAAATTCAAATTAACAGTCTTCAGTCCATGAAACCTGAATCCATGATTCAAAGTTTTTGATGACATTGGATTGCTTCGATTGCTGCTCAGTGTTGTGAGTTTGCTCACTTTCATTGGATTTTGGAATGTCTACATCGTTCTCATCGAGCCATTCAACATCATGGTGCTCTAAATTTTGAATAATGCACATCAGTTCATCAGCACGACTAGCAGCGACTCTTACAGGTCTAACTTTCGTATCACTGTGCGTGTTTACTTTTTTATGGATATTTTCGATGTGACGATTCAGTGACTTGACGGAAGCATGATAAAGACCACACGTTTTGCATGTTCGACTTGTTAGCCTCAATTTTACCGTCGGACAAAAATAATGGTAGGGCATTTGCAGGAAATCTTTGAGTGAAGCACTTAACGTCGCGTTCATCCAAATGAGACCCAAAATGGTCATGAGGCAATATACCAGCCAGTTCCCGAGTAAGAGGAGCCATTCTGCGCTCTACTCTGTTATACGCACTTCTTCCAGGAGCATTGGTAGCTAAAAACAATGCATCGAGATCATGTCGCCTTAAAGTGTTGTATAGCAAACCCTATGACTTTTTGATAACGTGGATTTTCATCAGGCCCTCCATCAACCGTCATGAATATCACTGGTTTTACTAGTCCATGGTCAGTTTTAGCTAATGGTCGCAACTTTCAAGTTCGAGAAGCGTCACGAAATCCTGAGCATGAGTATTAGCAGTAGATGAACTACGCTTCCACTTCGAATAGCGATGTATGTTGGTCCAGAATATCCAACGGCTTGCGGTTGTCCTAGCATATTGGAAGTGATTTTGATACCAGCATAAACAGATGGTATTAATTTATCATGCTCATCGATTACCCAATCGTGATCAGGCAATTTGATTCTATATTCCATGTCCATTAGAACAGGTGCTTGCTTATTTGCCGCAGTTACGCCAATAGGGACTCGAGCTTTATCATCTTGAGATATGAAAAATAATTGATCTGGTCCAAGTATGGATGCTATGTTCTCTAAATAATGGATTGATGTTTCAGAGAACTTGCTATCTAAGTGGCTCTTGTGGTGATCAGTTTGAGCCTGAATGAGCTTAACAGGGATTATCGATACATGTCTTCGTCCATCTGCAGAATTAAATTTTCTGGGAATCAAACGAAGATATATCCCACTGCGACTAATGTCAAATCTTATTTTACGTAATTCTTGTGTGGGTTCATCAAGAGTTTTTACGCTGCGAATTGATTCCGTTCGTCTTCTATCATCTGCTGCACTTCCAAATAAAGCTATATCCGCGATTGTTTTCAATAGTGAATGTTGATTGCTTTCAAGATTAGGACGTCCCACTGAATCCCTCAGAGATAGTCTTTTTTTATTACTATGTCCGAAAAAAATTATTCCAAAACGTACAATGGACTCAAAATTCGCGTAATATACCATTTTTAGAGTCTTGAGGTCTAGGTACTTGCTTAGTACTCTAATACTATAACATGGATTGTTTAACCTTTTTTCTAGATGTTCTATATGTTTAGCCCAGGAAAGTGCTTGGTCAATATGAACTCCCAAGAATTTTCCACAGTCTGTCAGAGGGACTTCTATTCTTTCTGCTAAGGTGATGTTTGTAGCTTCGATTTTTTGCGTGATTTCTTCGTTTTTGAAGACTTTCAATGCGTTGAGCGATTATCGACCATGTTTTTGTCAAATCGTTGAATTCTTCTCCAGTTCTTTCTTACAAGCATCCCATGATTCCAAAACCGCTATAAAGTCAGCCATCTTCGTTTTCAACACATTCGGAATTTCACTGCCTATGGTTACATTACGCTCTTTAATTTGTGATTAAAATTTTTGTCATTCCTCGACACAGCTTCTTAAAAAATATGACTGCCTTTCTCATTTAGTTCGTTGCGAAAAGATTTCTTTAGTTAGTGTGAATTCCTTCTGATTCTTCTCGTCTCGTCAACGCCGCAAATCTCATTATTCCTTGTTCAGGTTCGCAAAAAGTTTGCCTACCTGAAAATCTAAATATCGCAAAATTACACAAAATGTATTCTATTGGCAATGTTGAAAACAAAATTTTCTATGAATCCTTCCGAGAAATCTTTGAAAACAACTTCAATATATCGTTCGGTTATGCACGAAAAGATATACTAAGTGACATATAAATCCGAACACCCAGTTTAAATGGTTTTATTTCAATAAAAGTTGGTGAATGTATTTATCTTACTGTAAATAACAAGTGAAAAAATTTTCAGCCTTATCAGTTGGACATTCCGGTTTTTATACTGCTTTTTTTTAATTCACTAACGCTCTAAAAATGAATATTTCAGCCGCAGTAAAGAATCAACGTTGGCGGATTTTGGTTCTTGACATCCTTTACGATCGGTTACGATGCCTAGAGTACGGAGACATGTACGATTTCGTCAACTTAGTGAGTTTGATAGGGGCCGTATAGTGGGACTTCGGGAAGCTGGACTTTCTTTTCGGGCAATTGCAGTTGAGTGCAAAGAAGTGTAGACACTGGTGGTTAGGTGTTGTCAGGCATGGCTTCGAGAAGGCCGTACGCAAAGAGCAAGGGGCACTGGACGCCGCCGTAGAACAACAGACCGTGAAGATCGCCGCCTAAGATTATTGGCCTTAAGGGACCGTTTCTCCACTATCAGGTCCATTGCAAATGAATGGTTTGCAGAACACGGAAGACCTATTGGCATGCGAAGTGTTTACCGACGAATGAGAAGTTTTGGCTTGTTTTCACACCGGCCACACTGGGTCCTCCCTTTAACTCGAGAACACCGACGTAATCGCCTTGAGTGGTGCAGACAACAGTCACTCTGGGATCAGGAATGGAACAGTATTGTCTTTAGTGACGAGTCTCGATTTTGTTTAGGCATGTACGATGGTCGTGCCAGGGTTAGAAGGCGACGTGGTGAAAGGAGGAATCCACAGTTTTTTGTTGAAAGACATGTTCATCACACTGTTGGAGTTATGGTTTGGGGTGCTATAGCTTATGGTTCCAGGTCACCTTTAATCTTCATCAGAGGTAACATGAACGCGCAGCGTTATATCCGCGAAGTTCTAGAACCCCATCTTTTACCCTATCTTGACACCCTGGCAGATCCAACTTTCCAACAAGATAATGCCCGACCACATGTTGCAAGAGTCACAATAGACTTCTTTCAACATAATGATGTCACATTGTTACCATGGCCACCAAGATCTCCCGACTTATCCCCAATTGAGCACGTGTGGGATACGATGGGTAGGAGATTGCTCAATTTGCAACGTCCTCCTCAGACTCTAGAAGCACTTCGAGAGGAGTTGGTGGTTGCCTGGAATGAGATACCACATGAGGACATTGACCACCTGATCAGAAGCATGCCTAGGCGCGTTGGAGAATGCGTCATCAGGGTGCATCCACACATTTTTAAAGGTCAAAGGGCTTTAAAGCAGTGCAATCATTTTGAAATTTTTATCATTTACTTATTATGCTTCATTAAGTTCTTATACAAAATTTTATTAAAATAAAACCATTTAAACTGGGCGTTATATGTCACTTAGTATATTTAACACGCACTTAAAAGTGATCAGTTTTAGTTGAAAATTGTCACTTATGGTTCAGTGATGGCCATATTCCATAATTTTGTTAACATTTGAAATCATAGACTTTATCACTTTACTTGACGTACGAATTATTTTCTGAAGCTGACCATACACTATAAATATATTAATATTTTAAAATTTGTCTACCACTTGTCATACAAGTCACTGCACAACAAATTTGTCCGAGCTGAATTTATCTTTAGATCCCACTACTTATTTATGCACACAAAAAAAGCAAGCATGGTATATCTTTCAGTACTTGCAAAAGTGTTTTTGTTGTCCACAAAAAAAAAACAATCAAAATACTGTTAGATTGTCAATTGTTTATTAAAAAAATTACACAAATCGGTACACATACAAAATAAATACAAAAAAAATAATACTGTTAATAGGATGATTTTAGAGTGTCTTTTTTTTAGTCTTTTTGCCTTTTCTATACCCTTTACCAAACCATCCGGCAACAATCTTTTTATTAGAATTATCTATATACGATTCACTATCATCTTCATCAGTAGTATAGTCACAACACACACAAATATTTGGCTTTTCTTTTTTCTCTATCTTACTATATCTAAACAGTTCATTCGCAAACACAGGTTCACACTTTAAATAGAACAAACATGACTTGGAATCTAGGTGAGTATTACAATACTCACACTCGGGCAGCTTTTCATTAGCTTTACTTACAGTTAAAACCAGTTTATCTTCTGTCTGTCTTTCTGTGAAAACCTGCACAGGATTAATGATACTATGCAGTCCAGAATACAAAAAACTTGTTTGATAGGGATACAAAAATAATTCTGAGTAATCACTAAAAATTATGGGAAAATCAGAATTGAAAAGGTCTATTTCTGCGTACATCTCCTGCTCAGGAAGACATGAATTACTCTTATCACTACTATCACAGTTTAACAGGTCATCCTTGATATCAAGGGGTGCATCATTTACAAAGTCTTTCATTTCTGTTTGTACTTCAGATTCCGACTTTTCTTCTTTGATACCTTCACTTGATGCCTTTAAAAATGGTTGAGTTGTAGTATGCATTTCCATTTCGTTCAGTTCGGTGGCATGCTGGTAAATTGGGTCCAGATGATTTTGATATGGTGGCACGGAGATACCCAAGAGATCCATCACTTTCTTCATGACCATATCACACCTGTGCAAAATTGTTTAAATGCTAGTAAATTGGTTTCGATGAAAACAAGTGGCAACTGCAACCTGACTCTGCAGCACATGTATTCAAATACAGGCATTCTAACAAAAAAAAGGCAACACAACCAGACGCTCAATGATTGCTGGCACTCACGTTGCTAGTCCGTTTGCAGTTGTCCACCAGGAGTGCGTTAGTAAATCACTTGGTAATGTAATATCGTACACTGGGCTGCGTTCACAACGATTGAAGATAGGTATAAACTTTATTATACAAAAGTTAGTAAAAACTTCCTAAATATAAAAATTAAAAAAAAATGGGGATTTCCATTTAAAAATCTAAAGTGTAACGCAATATCTTATTGTTGGATCACTTGATATTGTAAGGCTATAGATGAAAAGACGTTTCCGAACATTTTTTCAAAAATACACCAGTAGAGTCACGAATGGGGGTGCGACCTTTTCGTTGGGTCACCCTGTGTATTTTTCATGATTAATAAGCTGCTCCGCATCCATAGCGTTTCTTATAATTAAAATGGTCCCAGAAAACGTGGTTAGTCGTGTGTCATCAAATATCATATATACTAAGTGACATATAAATCCGAACATCCAGTTTAAATGGTTTTATTTTAATAAAATTTTGTATAAGTACTTAATGAAGCATAATAAGTAAATGATAAAATTTTCAAAATGATTGCACTGCTTTAAAGCCCTTTGACCTTTAATAATGTGTGGATGCACCCTGATGTGCTACGCATTCTCCAACGCGCCTAGGCGTGCTTCTGATCAGGTGGCCAATGTCCTCCTGTGGTATCTCATTCCAGGCAACCACCAACTCCTCTCGAAGTGCTTCTAGAGTCTGAGGAGGACGTTGCAAATTGAGCAATCTCCTACCCATCATATCCCACACGTGCTCAATTGGGGATAAGTCGGGAGATCTTGGTGGCCATGGTAACAATGTGACATCATTATGTTGAAAGAAGTCTATTGTGACTCTTGCAACATGTGGTCGGGCATTATCTTGTTGGAAAGTTGGATCTGCCAGGGTGTCAAGATAGGGTAAAAGATGGGGTTCTAGAACTTCGTGGATATAACGCTGCGCGTTCATGTTACCTCTGATGAAGATTAAAGGTGACCTGGAACCATAAGCTATAGCACCCCAAACCATAACTCCAACAGTGTGATGAACATTGTCTTTCAACAAAAAACTGTGGATTCCTCCTTTCTCCACGTCGCCTTCTAACCCTGGCACGACCATCGTGCATGCCTAAACAAAATCGAGACTCGTCACTAAAGACAATACTGTTCCATTCCTGATCCCAGAGTGACCGTTGTCTGCACCACTCAAGGCGATTACGTCGGTGTTCTCGAGTTAAAGGGAGGACCCAGTGTGGCCGGTATGAAAACAAGCCAAAACTTCTCATTCGTCGGTAAGCACTTCGCATGCCAATAGGTCTTCCGTGTTCTGCAAACCATTCATTTGCAATGGACCTGGTAGTGGAGAAAAGGTCCCTTAAGGCCAATAATCTTAGGTGGCGATCTTCACGGTCTGTTGTTCTACGGCGACGTCCAGTGCCCCTTGCTCTTTGCGTACGGCCTTCTCGAAGCCATACCTGTCAACACCTAACCAGTGTCTACACTTCTTTGCACTCTAACTGCAATTGCCCGAAAAGAAGGTCCAGCTTCCCGAAGTCCCACTATACGGCCCCTATCAAGCTCACTAAGTTGACGAAATCGTACAGGTCTCCGTACTCTAGGCATCGTAACCGATCGTAAAGGAGGATGTCAAGAACCAAAATCCGCCAACGTTGATTCTTTACTGCGGCTGAAATATTCATTTTTCGAGCGTTAGTGAATTAAAAAAAAGCAGTATAAAAACCGTAATGTCCAACTGATAAGGCTGAAAATTTTTTCACTTGTTATTTACAGTAAGATAAATACATTCACCAACTTTTATTAAAATAAAACCATTTAAACTGGGTGTTCGGATTTATATGTCACTTAGTATATATTATGACTGTGTAATAATTTTGGTGTTTTCACAGCATTCCAGAATAAACTTTCATCTGGCAATATGCATTCCATTACTGTGTACGGCAGGAGTTTCCAACCAAGGGGGCGTGCCTCCCAATGGGAAGCGTTAGCATTTTAGAAAGAAAAAAATAAACAAACAGCATTACAATGTAATGTTTAATTTACACGCATAAAATTAGAAATTAAATATTCTCTCAACCGCTGATTCAAAACCCGGCGTCATCAATCGCAGTTTGTACAAGTTTCAACAAGGCACAACATGAAATCCGCGCGCAACCCCGCCGCGCTCCGCATAACATTCATCACAAACAATTACCTACCAGACGCGGATGAGCATCTGTGACATTCATTCCCACAAACTTGACGTTTCGATGTACATGTTTTGTTGAGAAATCCGTTTGAGTGTGTCAAATTATTGTATCTCACTGTTAAAAGGTAAGTTTGTGGATTTACAAACTTCAGTTACCATTTTTATTTAATTTACTAAATTGTTGATTGAATGGAGACGCGTTCATAGATCGGCCATTGGGACTTTTTTACCACATCACAATCAAACCAACGGGCGAAATAATTTTGAAACGACGAACTTTAGGTACCTAATATTGATTCCAAATGCATTTAAAATTACTATTACAACGTCAACCTGCCTACAAAATATAA